TGGCTCAGTGGCTCGTGCTAAATTCGCAGCCGCGAGCTCTAAGGAGGCGTGGCTGATTATGCGCAGTACAGCGCCTGTCTACAATGCATTATTAATTACATCACCTTCAGATTGCAAAGCACAACAAACACAATTTTTACCAATAAGAGTATAAAGTTTTTGCAATTTTGTGTTATTTATAGTTTTATATTTTTATGGCGTATTACATTTACCTACTTTAATTAAATTATTAAATAATAATAAGTGTAACAATCATTATTATTATTATTTATTTATTTATTTAATAATTATTTAAATTATTTTAGAGAACTGGAGGGATCAAGAAATCCTCGGTGGCTTTCCAGTTTGGCTACTTGCCATATAGTGCTCAATGTTTAACCATGTATCGCCTTTCATGATGGCAAAACTATTATGCACTGTAACCCTCACATGCTGTTCTCATGACTGTTATAAGAAAGTCATGATGGACGTGCTTACATAGGCTATTTAGTTCACATGCATGACCACGCACATTCAGACGTAGCCTACTGTGTGATAAAACGCAAACAGTCTGAATGGATAAGCAATATATAAATAGAGATATTTTTAGATTTCAGTGCTGGAAAACTATCATTCAGTCAAAAAAAATTGCCTCGAAACAAGGCTGCCCTCTTGTGAATGACTAAAATATGAATTGCCAGATGCAAGTCAAGATAGTGCGTTTGCGGATTCCCATGCAATATGAATGCAAATGATGGGAAACCACAGTCAAATTCTAAGATAAAATCCTAAAGGAATCGTATATGAACTCAAAAAAATAAAATTAAATAAATAAATCAGAGGTCACTGCGGCATTTTTTTAAATGCAGCTAGAGTCTGCCTTCCTAAAAGTGTTCAATGACATTTTGCTTACAGTTGATGCCGGTAAAAATGCTGTATTGATACTACTTGATCTTACAGCTGCCTTTGACACTGTAGATCATAAGGTTCTTATTTGATCGATTTGATGGTTCAGCTCAAAGACATGTCTTTTTTCTGTAGCGTTAGGCAAGTTCTCTTCATATTCTGCCCCTATTATTAGTGGAGTACCCCAGGGCTCTATTCTGGGCCACTTCTTCTTAACTTATATATGCGTCCACTGGGGGATATTATTAGGAAGCACAATGTTTCATTTCATTTATATGCTGAAAAGCTGGCGATTCCATTCAACCATTGTTGGAATGTATCTTAAGAAGTGGTTTTCAAATAACTTTCTCCAACTTACTGAAGACAAATCAGAAATAGTAATTGTTTTTGTTCCCCCAAAACTGAGGAATGTCTCAATAAGGAGCTGGGCAATAATTTCCCCTAAATTTCCTCCCAGGTTAGGAACCTTGGTGTTATCCTGGATTCAGAATTATGTTTATCCAAACAAATCAATTCTGTT